AGCCTTACTTGGACCATGGCTCCAAGAGATGCCAATGTGAACACACTGTCATCGAAGATTTCGAGGGGTGCAGTCAAAAAAGTGGGCCAAAATTGTCCTATGGATCCACATTGGCTTGCCTCCCAAAAGAAACAAGAGAAACTCCATGATCTTGTTTGGTTGTTGCAGTTGAAGGAAGGCAGTATGTTTGGGGGAAGTTGACTGGTTGGGTTTATACGCAAGTATCCCCCCCCCTCCCCCCTCCCACCCAAAGCGCTGGTAGTGGAAATATCAACCAACATAGTTGGTAGGGGGGGGCGCCTACTACTACTACTACTACTACTACTACTACTATTACTACTACTACCACGACGTCTTCTTTATCTCTAATTCTAGCGTGTCCGCTTCGACTTTTGCTTCTCCTATGGATTCCCAGGACTGACATGCCGGAGTGGGAGGAGACCATTGAGCAGCTCTTGAGGCAATCAACTCATTGAAGACGTAGACATTTTTCTCAATCAGTGCCTAATTAGGGTTACCTGCTACCTTTGGAGTTTAGGATTTTGGTTGGATGCATCTCTTAGTCTCTTAGCATGGTATACGGGTTGTTTTGAGAAGCTTCCACGGAAGAGTCTGCGCCGCGATGATCTGGAAAAGTCCGCCAAAGATGCTTCCGCAGCCAAGGCACATGTTGTCGGTATCAATGTTCTGCAGGTGTTGGCATTTCGGAACATGAAGATCCCGAAAACATGCAGACAACATGAGGCTGTCAGCTTCAGGATTATCAGGCTACAGGACAGGTCCTCGCTGCCATGAAGAAATTGGCGCTTTCCAGAACATTCCCTTATAGAACGTTTCTATTCTAATAGTGTACTCAGTTCCTAGAGTTCCTTCCCCTTCAGCAAGGGGTTCATGAGTTTGTGCCTGAATCCCCACCCTACACCATGCATGCCGCGAATCATCCGATGAGCTACTGTCAATATTAGCCTTAAAACGGGACCGTTAACAGAGGACATAGGGGTCCCTTTTGTAGTCTAGTATAGTTTCTAGTCTAGTCTCTAATATGGAACCCATGTCCATTAATTATCTGGGAAATATGAACCCCTATTAATCCCTGGAATGCCAGTTTCATTTCATTTTCCATGTTCTTTGCCGTTTGATGTTCCATTACAGTTATATGGGGATATATTGCCTGCAGGTCCTATGAAACCCTCGAAACCCTAAACCATCAAAACCCAAACCCTCAAAACCACAAACCCGCAACCCTAAACCCTTCACCCTGCACCCTAAAGCCTAACCCTCAACCCCCATGCCCAGCCTCGCCTAGTGGCGCTGAGGTTGGTTTGCCAGATGTGGTTGGTAGACCTGCAACACCGCAGCTGAGCTTAGATGTTCTACGAAGGTTATATTGGGGTATATATTGGGATAATGGAAAATCAAATGGAAACTACTATAATGGGGTTATATAGGGATTATAGGGTATATATTGGGGTTATATTGGGATATTGGAAAATAAAATGGACACTACTATTTAGGGTTAAGGGTTTAGGGCTGAAGGGTAGGGATGTTTTCAACTTTTTTGTGCAAGATGCAAGGCTACTTCCTTTTCCATGATGAGCTCCCCTTGGAACACAACCAGAACTCCGGAGGACCTAGTTTTTGGGAATTGCCGTCAGAAGAGGAGTATTCATTGCACAAGAAAGAGGAGTTTGCATTGTGGCAACTACGGATATGGCTGTTTCCCAAAATCAGGGCTACCTTTTTGGGGCTTCCTATAATATGGATTATAGTATTTGGGGGTCTAT